TATGTTCTTCCTACCTTATAGCCTCAAGGATTGTTTTTGATACATTGAATCTAAGTGATCAGGTTCTTACAAGACATTGGTATTATAAGCTTTAGTCAGTTTACTTGTATGATGAAATCAATTATATCATATTACCTTATAAAGTGAGATTTATACTTGAAGAGTTGTTTACTCACACAAGGTAATAGTGTTTCATCTATGTCTCTCTCTTGGGTAGTTCCTAATATGTGCACAAATGCATAAAATTGGTAATAGAATCAAAGGCAAGAATTGTCTCATGCCAAAGACAGGCTTTAAGATGTAAACAGATGGTCTTTGCTTAAACTAGTAAAGCTAAAAGTAAAGCTCTAATTCTTTTATCATACTGTTAACAAAAGGAGATTGGGAAAGCTATAGCCATGGCTAGTCCAACTCTCTCTCTCTCTCTCTCTCTCTCTCTCTCTCTCTCTCTCTCTCTCTCTCTCTCTCTCTCTCTCTCTCTCTATATGTATATAAAATCTAGTGTGATTTGTTTAGAAATGCTAGCACCTAGAAGACATTAAAGCTTCTCATTGCAATATGAGACTATATCAGGACAAATGTTAAGAGCACAAGCATTTGATTTGGCAAGGTTGCTTACAATGTTCTTGTTGTTGTTCATTTTGCAAATAAAATGTCACTCTTAGAAATAACAAAAATTCTATTACCTTTGTCAACTATTGAAATGATCTATGCAGTAAGAAAGATAAAATCAATATCAAGGTGCTTTCCTCAATATGAAAATATACCTTAAACCAAGATGTCTATCTCAAATTTTTATGGTAGATAATGTAAAGAGCTTGCCTGAGAGAATTACACACGTACTTTCTGAAGTTATTGCAGATCTCTCTTCCTCTAAAAAGGGGAGCAAGTAAAGCCTTGGATTATGATCACACAAGATAAATCCATGGGGATGGATCTTGGTAGTGCACATTCAACTAAAGAGGGATTTGTGGTGTCAATGGTTCTCTTTTACCTATTTTTAGTAATATCCAAGAATAAAATATTGATTACAAGTAGTGCAAGGCTCTTTCTCTCTCTTGATTCTCTTATGTACAGCTGCTAAGAATATTCTAGTAACTACTTAATAATATAAAAAAGGAATCTACTTTTTCCAATAAAATCAAAGAAATTAAAAAAAAACCTCTATATCCAGGAACCTATGGAGTGGAAAGATCACGATCAAGATGCTACCCACTAAGCCCCTTATCCCAGCTATAGAGCCTTGTGCTAGTGGCTATGGTAGGCCCTAGTTGCCATCATGCAGGACATGGCCATAGCATGGGCTGGCTTGTAGTTAGATTTGAAGAAAAACTAAGAATAGTATTGAACTTTGAAGGAGATGGAAGGAGTTTGTGTGTCAAGATTTGACACATTTCCTGCTAGGGAGAAAGGTCAAAAGAAAGTAGATTTACTTATAGCTGTGCAAAAGTTCCTTGGCACCCCATATAAAAGCTATATTTCTGGAAGAGAGCAACATTTTAACTATGTGATTTATTTTTAATCACACTCTATTTCTGGCCATACCACAGTCCTACAGTGGATCCCTTCGGGACAAAAGACATACTCATAAATGCTCAATATCTAGAGTCGTGTTTAAAAGAGTTGTAATTGAATACTCATTTATAGCTTTTGATGTTACAAATAAGTTAGTCACAATAACTTTGCAAGTGTAAGTGCTCAGCATTTACATCCACTCTAGCTGCGTGGAGGAGGTGAAGAAATTACTAGCAAAGATCCTTTTTCTAAGGATAGGATGTAGCCTTTTCTTTGGTCTGAAAAAACAAAAAGTGAGAGTCATGTCTAAAAGAGTATAATTGAATAGTCATTTATAACTTTTGATGCTAGAAGTTGGTCATTGTAACTTTGCAAGTGCAGAATGCAGCTACTAAGCACTTGCGTCCACTCTTGCCATGTAGAGGAGGGAAAAAAATTACTAGCAAAGATCCTAGGATTGTCCTTTTCCAAAAGTTTGTAAAAGAAGAATAGGAAGAGGGGAAAAGGAAGAAATTTAGAAGTGCTCTTGTATCCTCCTCACCACCAATAAGGTTTTTTAGTTATACAATGATAATTATCTTTTCATACATCTTTGTGACTAAGTATGAAGCATACATTCAAAACTGAAAGAAAGAGTATAAGTACACCTATAGTAATAGAAGTTCAATTGCCAGATTCTGGTAACCAACTCTTTGTAAAAATTTAGGAATTCACCTTAAGCTCCTGAAGAACATAAATTTTAAATCATGGTTATCAAGAAAAATCTTCACTTACTTCTGTTGTCATTAAAGTGTTATAAAACTATTTGTGTTCTAGTCACCTAATACAACATCCAAGATCACAACTTTGAATGAATCACTCTTTTACCTTCTAACAATTTTTGACAAAGTCAGTGGTAGCTTTGTACTTGCATAAGATCCATCACCAATGTGATATTGCCTAAGATCTAGAACAATATTTAGAGTGATAAAAGTTGATAGTAACGTGAATTCTCTGCACCAAAACGTTAAAATCAAATGGGAAAAACCATAAGTTCACCTCTTGAATAAAAGTTGCACCAACTGCACATATAACTAACTCAAACCCCCAGTAGAGAGTATATATGTACCTTTGAAAGAGCCAGAAGCTATGAGTGCATGCCATTTTGATTATGGTGGATATTTAGACCAATCGTTCCATGAGAGAAGTAAAGTTCTAGAATACTTCCTCTTCATCTCACATCACAAAAAGAACTGGTGATAGCAGATTACTCATTCCTATGAGAAAATAGTGGTTTTTAACAGATCGTGCTATACTTAACAGTAGCCCAGATCAAATTTGTAAAATAAGTGATTAAAATGTCATGGATGAAATCGTTGCTGCCATCATCAGCTGGGAATGCACACAGGTGTTGGGAAGACACCACCGTCCTCTAAACTTAAGTAGAATCATGGTTCAGCCACAGCTGAATGTCTGCCACAAGCTCATGCAACATATCCTAACCCTGTCATGTAAAGATGCTTGCAAGCTCACTCACACTCACTGATTCTAGCATATACAAGGAGCTGGTTCTTGGATTCACTGTAGACGCCAAAAGCCTCACCACAGTGCTCAAGTTGTAGCTTAGGGATGTGGGGCTTGGAAGGAGAGCTCGGCATGTGGAATTCTATTAGAGGGTGATGCTGATGTATCGAATTGGACATGTCCTCTAGCAACCAGCAGATTTTTTATTCCATGGTGGCCAGGAGCATTGAGCCCTAGAACTCATTTACAGCCAGGTAGGAGATATCAAAAAAGGAGAACTCTGACTCGAGAAATTTAGCAGAGGATGAGCAGTTCTCACAATTGATTGACATAGACGCCTGTATTTCTTACACTGTCTAAGACGATTTCAATGAATTTTGTCTTTAGGTTTGTTTATATTAAGTTTCTGAATTTCATATTGAAAAATGCAGCAGATGGGCTGAAAGACAACTCAGAAGAATAGATTGTGTTGAGGATTATGAGATTGGAGTGCTATTACTAGAAAAATTTATGTAACTCATAAATGAAGTTATGGAAACATATGCATCCTTCATGGCAAATGCTTGGGCTATTTGAGAATAAAACTTTTTTTTTACATATTTTGTGAGATCGACAACAAACAGACACCAATGCTGGGAACTACTCTATTAATAATACAGACCTGGAACTATGTTGCCTTGGTTTTTCTTTTACTATTGTAACTTAACATTATCTATTGCAGAAAGTTTTCTAGTTCCATCCCTTTCTCCAGAGCCTGGAGCTTCACGAGCTTCATGAGCTTCCCATGAATTCGCTCGAGCAGCTCTTGTGTAGCCAGGCTCGCACATGCCAGAATTGCAGCAACAAAAACCTTGGCGCCTGCTACACACCCTCCACATCTGACTACATCCTTGAGAAGAAATCCAAGGCCACCTCGGCTTCACCGTTTTGAGCATGTCCCAGTATAACTGTCGTCCAGAAGACAACACCTCGACGGCAATGCCTCTGAAAACTCCACGGGCCTCCACCATGTTGACAAACTTTGCATATATGTCGATTATGGCTGGTGATGAATACATCAGACTCATAGCCGCTGCGGGCAAACCAATCTAAACACCTGGAAAAGCCTTTTCACTGTGATCGGAGCCTTTTGGGTCTCGCTGCCAAAGGCCTTGAGCACCGCAAAGAACGGTTGACCATCTGGCACGCATTCCTTGCATTGCGTGAGAGAGAAGAAATAGATGACCTTGTTCATGGCCCAGGATCAAACTTGTCCACGACACAACGTTTGGCCGGAGAATCCCTCGAAAGACTCCTCAATTCTCCCACACTTCGAATAGAAAGTTATGAGCACATTACACACACGTAGATGTTGGAAAGAAATGCATACTTGTTAGCTTGAGCGTGCAAATCCAGACCCATTTTGCAGGCTTAACCGCCAGATTGGAGCACGCCTTGACAAAGCTCTGCGAATCCGTCAACACTCCTGCGGTGGAATATCTCTAGAGCTAGGTATTCAACGTAGCCAAGGATGAGCGACGTCCATGAAGCAACGCTGCACTGGCAACGATTCATGCCCTCAAAGATCGTACATGTGAATCAGTGCATTCTCCATGCCAACATTCTAGGAATAGCTGAGCCAATCGAGCTCAGCATGGAATTCGACTCCAGCCCTAACATTTGAAATTAATTGTTTTGTAGTGGATATATTTAGAATATGTTTGAATATTCTAGAATATTTTACTATCTAACGGTTATTATTTATTTAGAATAATTTTGTATTTATAATTTATAAACATGTTTATAATTTATAAACTTTCTTAAACCCTTTCTAGTATATTCTTATTTATTTTATCATCTAATGGTTAATATTCAATAAGATTAATTTTGTGTTTATAAATTACAAACATGCTTATAATTGTAAACTTTATTTGATCAATTGGATTAATAAATAAAGCAAACCAAATGTTGCTATTAATTTCAACCGTTAGATCAAAAACATATTCCTAAATGATTACTGTATTTATTTTTGGAACGAATAAAATAGAAGTATGCTCTGTTTACAGGTAAGTGGTTATTCCAGTTTCTGGTTTCCCCTGAATTTTTACGAAACCAAGGACACAAGAGACACATATTCTGCCGACTGGCGCCCTTTGGTCTTGATATTGATGATGAAGTGCTCCGGGTATCTCCGGAGGAGTCCAAGCAGCCCGTCCCATGGCCTTGCTCCATCTTCCTCCGTCTTCACCTCCACAACTTTCCACACCTTTGCTGGGGAGCAAATGCTTGAGTAGTGCTCCGGAGCATGCAGCTACAAGAGAACAAGTTCACCGGAAACAAAAACAACGAAGAACTCGCGTGAGAAACTTTGTTCTGCTAGTAATCTCCATGTATGAAAGAAAAAGGGACGCGTTTAGAGACTTAAGTACCTCGTTAAACAGCTCCACGATTGGCATCCACTCGCCAGGGCCGCAGAGGTCAGACAGCACGGAGCCAATGGCCGCTACAACCTCCCTCTCCTCGGCCGAAGTGTAAGGAGGTGGTTTCTCTGCGCACGGCACGCACCAAGTTAGAACCTTGACAACGATGCTTGGACTGGGTCAAATGAGAGGAAAGAGCTTCTTATAAGTAACAAACAATGCTTAAGCTGCGAAAAGAAAGCGGAAGAGAAAGAGAGGGAGGGAGGGATCTTTACTGCTCAAGCGCTCGACGAATCCAAACCTCCCAATCTCTCATCTATATCGACAACAAGAGACGGACGTTAGTATAGAGCTCAAGAGAAAGAAGAAAAGAGAATAAAGTTCTAAAAACTGGACGAAAACCATGACTGGAATGAAAGTAGAAGGAAGAGATCACACACAAACGTAAGTTTCATACCCAGTTCTCTTTGGTTTCTTAAATCTTCACAGCTTTCTACAAGAACAAAGCACTCAAACAACAGTCACTCTAGAAAACCTTCCCGCTAAGGCTAATACTTCTCTCTTCTGCTCTAGACAAGTTTTTACGTACCGGATGAATAGGCAGGACCCCCAGAGGGTGGTGGCGTCGAGTGAGGATGAGGATACACGCCATTTCCACCGCTGCTTCCACTGGCGATCGAAAGTCCTGCCTGCATCGCTGCTGCTGCTGAAAGTGCCGCTGCCTCCCCTCCAGCCGATTTCCTCTTCTTCGATTCTTTTCGAGAAGAGCCATCTTCCGCCTTGGATTGCTTCGACCGCTTCTTGCCGCTAGATCCTCCTCCGGGAGCCGCCAGAGCAATGGGAGCCGGAGCCACCATCGTCGTGAGAGGAGGCGGAGGAGGAGTGGGCTTGGCGATGGAGATCTGCTTCGTGGGTAGCAAGAAGTAGAACTTCTTCTCGCCAATCTGGAGCAAGTCCTGGGAGTCGAGCTTGACGTGGGAGGTGCCGCGGAGATACAAGACGCCCTCGACGTAGCACCCATTCTTGCTAAGCACCTCCAGCGCGAATCTCTTCCTGCCAAAGTCGTAGTAAATCCGTGCGTGCTGCCGGGAGATGTTCATGCCCCCGCCCATGCTAGCCAGATCCACATCCACTGTCGACTTCTTGCTGTTCCTCCCCAGGATGATCGAGTAAGTCTGCATGTAGTACTCGAAATCTTCGCCTTGGAGCTTTGCAAACCCTGCCTCCAACTCTCCCATCGCTAGATCTGTTCTCTAGGACCAATCCCCTCCCCTGGAGCTCTCCACTGTTCTTCCCTATCTCCCCATAGAGGAAAAAAAAACCCTCTCTCCTGCCGAAATTCTTAAAAAATGCCGGTGATTCTCTCGAGATTGCTGGAGCAATCAATGATCTGGCGAAAGATTTGGAGTAAGCGGCGCTGGAGCTAAGGAAATCTCGGGTCTAATCGATGGGACTTACCAGTGACCATCACTCTTGGGCCTTGGCGCTCGAGCTCCCCGATTTCTTCCCACTCGCGACGATTAAAAGCCCTAGCCCACGGAGCCCCAACGGCCAGATTTTGGCCACGTCGTTGCGATCCAACGTTCCGGGAGACTCGAGTATGAATGTCCTTAAAAACAGCATGCGTATGCCACGAGAGAAAATCCGTCCGTGGTAGCGGCTCGTTAGGGTTTAGGAGTGGATGGATTCGTCCAGCGGACCGATCGTTCTCTCCACCTCGTCGTCCGACTCCTCCTCCTCGTCCGATCGCAGCGCCAGCGCCAGCAGCAGCGATTCTGAGTCTTCCGCCGTCGAGATCGTCTCCGGGCCAGCGAAATCAGGTGAGATTTCGCGTCCTGGAGCTCGTTTCTCCGCATATTTCGCGGGATATCCTGAGGCTTTTGCCGCTTCTTGGATCCAGCATTGCCGTTTTCTTTCGCATCTTGCCGCAAGCGCGGGACGCGCGCTCAATGCAAGACCTGCTGCCATTTCAAATTCAACAAGGCGAGCACCGAGCTCACACCACAGCCGTGTAAGCCTTGTCATTCTAAGCAGATTTTTTTCTTCTCGTTCCAACCGGTACTTGAGCTCATAACTCTCCTCTTCCATTTCCTCCCATCTTTCTCTGTTTATCTTGCACAGCTCTCGAAGTTTTCTTCCGCGATCGCTGGTGGACTGTGGATTCCATACGTGAGGAGGAAGCCAGTAGCGGCGCTTACATTGTGCGCTGTGTGGAATTCGAGAAGAAGGACGTGAGAATAGATTTGCAATGCATCAGACTTAGCAGTCGAAGGGCGAGCGACGAAGACTGCATTCTTCTCAAAGAAGGCGTGGATGTTTGCGTCTTTGCTCGTCACCCACAGACTAATGTGAAGGTACGCTAGTATCTTCTTTTCAGTTTGTGACTTTCTATCTTCTGAGTTTGTGACTTCCACTCTTTCTGTGCAGGCTTGGCATGACGCTAACATTGACAAAGTTCACAAAAGACCACACGACACTAAATGCGACTGTAGGATAATCGTTAAACTGTACAGCATCGGTGACAAGGTAACAGACTTGACAACACTAAAACACAAACCTGAGACTGTAGGCATTGCGAGGATAAAAATCTTGCAAGCGCCCAACCACATTGACTTCGAGGAGGTCGTGCAAGCGGCAATCCAGCCGGGATTGGCGAAACGGGTATGGTCTCGTGACGTTGGCTCGATCAAGAGCAAACATGATGGAAGCAGATACGGCCTGGGAATCCAACGCCACCGCCACCACCACCACGATCACCACCACAGGCATGGCTGCTACGAGCTCGAAGTAATCGACGATGACTCTTCCAGCGACGACTTTGAGGCCTTGTTGGACGCAGAGCTTCGCCCGACTGAGGTAGTAGACTCGGATGAAGAGGACTACGTTGACAGACTAAACGAAAGAACGTATGTGTCACCGAGAAAGCCTGTCCAGGGAGTACGCAGGTCGAAGGAGAAAGCGAAGAAAACCAAGAGGCCTGGAAATGAACAGACTTTAAGGCACCGAGAGAAAAGCTCGTCTAGAAGGGACGCTTTGAAGGACAAAACGCCCAAGGTGAAGAAGAAAAGCAAGTCTTTAAAGCGTAAGCGTGAAGATGACAGGGCCACTCGTGGTGACAGGGCGAGCGCTCACAGAAAGAAAAGTAGAAAAAGGACAGAGACAGACATTTACACACACTTAGCGGAGGAGGACCTTGAAAAGGAACAAGGATATCTGGTAAGCCTGGAAGATTATTGGAACAGAAAGCATGTTAGTTTCGAGCCAGAGCCGACAATGGAAGAGAAAATCTTGAGGGAAATGGAGATGGTGTTTCCAAGAAAAACTGAAGAAGATGAGGTCAGTGATTCTAGTATATCATGCATGCTCACAATAATTCCTGTTTTTTACAGGCACCACGCATGAGCAGCTTTGACGATATATGTGAGGTACACGACTACGTTTTGAACGAGTTGGTGGGACTTATTTGCAGTGTATGTGGATACGTTGGGATTCCTATCGAAGAGATGGCGCCACATCCGGTAAGCTCGTTTGGTTTCTACAGATATACTAGCGCTAAATGAGTTTTTTTGCAGGACTGGAGCTTCAGGCTGCCGCAGAACGTACTTGAAAATCCGGATCCCTTCATTAGAAGGCCGGAACTCAACGATCTAAACGACGACCTGGCCGACGACCCTTACTTTCCCAGTACTGACACAAGAAGAAGCTTACATGCCCATCAAAGACGTGCCGTGCGCTTTATGAAGAGAAACATCGTGGACGAGGAGGGAGGCTGCATTCTGGCACACGCCCCTGGCACCGGCAAGACGTTTGCCACGGTTTACTTCTATTTAAAGTACAAAGAAATCATGGCGGGGTGCCGGCTGCTCGTGCTTTGTCCGAAGATGGTCCAGAACGTATGGAGAGAAGAGTTCCGGAAATCCCAGATGGAGACACCATTCTTCTTGAGCTCTCGGAAGTCAAGGCGGCTAGAGGTCCTCTCACGGTGGCACAGGCAACGGGGCGTGCTGGTGATGGGCTTCACCTTGTTTATGAAGATGAGCTTGAAGAAGGAGTACCGCAGCTACATGCTCGAGAGCCCGGAGCTGGTGATCCTGGACGAGGGGCACACGCTGCGATCGAATGGAACGCTTCTCAGGAACGCGGTGATGAATATGAAGACCAAGCTGCGGATACTGCTGTCCGGCACCTTGTTCCAGAACACGTTCGAGGAGCTCTTCAACCTCATCTTTCTCGCGAGGCCCAACTTCATCCAGCAGCTCCAGATGGAGGACCGAGCTCGGAGGTGGTTCATCAAGGAGATAGGCAGGAAGTTCGACGACGGTCATGGCCACAGGGAGATGCAAGCCGCGCAGATGAAGCTGGTGAAGATGACGCAGGGATTCACGGACCACTACACGGGTGCCATCCTCACGGAGGTCCTCCCGGGGCTGCGGGACTACGAGATAACCACGGCCATGACGGAGCTCCAGCACAAGCTGGTGGCCGCAGTGGCGGGCACGCTCGAGATGGACATCACCCGGACCAGGATCTCCATCCACCCGCTGCTGAGGAGCGCCGAGGCCGCCGGGGGTGACTTCTCCGCCGTGGCGGCGGAGGTGGTGGACGTGCGCGCCAGCATGAAGACGGCGTTCGTGATGAAGCTCATCGAGCTGTGCCAGTGCGCCAACGAGAAGGTGCTCGTGTTTGGCGAGTTCCTGGCGCCATTCCACTTGCTGCTGCGCATGCTGGAGCTGGAGCGCGGGTGGTCGCGAGACAAGGAGGTGGTGTTCCTCCACGGGGCGCTGGTGACCGAGGAGCGACACGAACTTATGGACAGGTTCAACGCGGAGGGGTCCGAGGCGCGCGTGTGCCTGGCGTCCATCCGAGCCTGCGCGGAGGGGATCACGCTCGTCGGGGCCTCGAGAGTGGTGCTGCTCCATCCGGTGTGGAACCCGGCGCAGACCAACCAGGCGATCAGCCGGGCGTTCCGGCTTGGGCAGAAGCGCAAGGTGTTCGTCTACCGGCTGGTGACGGAGGTGGAGACAGTGAAGAACTCGCGGACAAAGTGGAAGGACTTTTGCTCCGAGGCCATCTTCGAGACGGCTGGGAGCGCCGCGCCGAGGCCGCAAGAGCCGGCGTCGCTGAGCGCGGAGGAGATTTTCAGCGAGGACAAACTGCTGGCGCAGATCCACGCCGAGGGGATGGTGTTGCGAGTGTGTTACAGGGATCACTTCTTCGAACAGGGGGAGAATCAAACTCCCGGCTCACAGTGAATCGTTTCATCCGATTGGATGACATAGCTGTCATTTTCTTTTCTGATGGTTACCATTGATTTTCAATGAATGGTCCAAGACGGGAAATCTGGCGTGGCTACCTGATGGTAAGCTATTCATGCACTACACGAACATCCCATAGCAAGCGAGGTGTCACGTCGTGTTTCCAAAGAGTGGAGTTTTTGGGTGTGACGCAGCCATTGGATCTATTGCCAAGTGGTGGCCACCCAGATAGAAATTTCTAGGATTGTCCAGGCTACGCTCGAGAGAGAGATCAATGCCACCTATAGCTCCTCTCTTGATGTGGTGGCTTTGCACCATTTCTTTGTACTTATCAGATGAGATAAGATCTCAATATTCTAACAAGAGAAATCACACATCACACAAGGGAAGGACTTCGAGATCTTTGCCATGCAGCACGTTAGCTCTTGGCGATCCAGGCTCCCCAACCTCCAATGGCTTGTTCTTTACCTGCTGTGCTTGCTTTTTGTAAGATGTAAGCAGCTGCGTCGGTGACTGTCACCATTTTGGCCATCCTCTTCTGGAGATTGCTGGATGGCTGTTTCCTGTTCATCTTCTAGCTCTGGGGATGGATGTTTGACGGGATCATGTAGTGGGGGCTTCTTGTTTGCCTTGTTGAGCAGCTCTTTTGTATTTGCGCCGTTATACTCATTGTAGTTATCCAAAAGGTGAGCTTGAACGCCCATGGACTAGATTTTCCCAGTTTGAATTGTACATGGGAATCCCAGAGGCAACGACTCCCAGAGTTTTAGAGATTCACTTTGTTTTGATAAGAACTAGAAAATGGATCTTCGCTTCAAAGTGGTTATCGACTTGCCAAGGCATTTGACAGACATCACTGAGCTGCCATCATTGAGCTTTACAAATTGGTGAAACTCCAAATCTTTAATGGTCATCAACCATACGCAAAAGTGTCCACTCTCCCCTACATTGTTTGCAATATACATTGGGGCGTTGGAAGTGATATTAAAGGAGAAGAATTATCGTATACTCGCTTCTATATGCTGACGACTTGCTGCTGGTTGCCCCGGATGCAGACACACTCGCGAGCTTCAAGTAATAATATCTTCCAGGATACTTGGGATAGGTGCACAAACAAGGAACATGGACTGAAGGTGTCAAAGAAAGCCGCACAAATGGCATACTATAGTTTCTAGTCAGACTGTCATAACAATACAGTCACAGATTGGAAGACTATTCTATAATGCTAAAGTGCCACCAGTTGCCTGTGAAGTCACAGATCCAGGA